AAAAAAAAAAAAAAAATCCAACAAAAAATATAGAAATTCAAGATTAACCCAGTGACATGGTGGGCAAGAAACAAAAGATGACTGGCTCTAAGCTAGCATCCCTCCTTCCATCTCAGAGTAAATATCACTTTATTATCAAGTCCCTGAGCATAGCTAATAATTTCCTCATCTGAGGAGAATAACCGCTGCCATTTCCACAGGCATAAAAGAATAGTTAATGAAGTAATGAAGAACAGTAAATGAAGGTAAAACACTTAACATAGTGCCTGGTGTACAATTTCAGCCTTGCCCTCCCTCTCCTTTAATATAGCCTATTCTTTCTACTATCCAGCCCTGCTATCATACTCAGCCTTAAGACCTTCCACCTCGTCCAACCACCTCTCTTAACAGGATAACTTTCAGCTGCTTGGGTAGGCCTTGTGGAAGTTGCCTCCAAACCCTATCCCAGCCCAAGATGCCTCTCCAGGATCAGCACCTGGGGCTTCCCACAAACACTTAGGTCACATCAAAGTATAACAAAGAAGCACTTGGCTCCCTAAACACACAAGGTTCTGTTAAGCGTCCTTTCTTTTTTGAACTTTTACCAGAACACAGTAGGTGAAAAGCATGGACTTTAAAATCAGACCTGGGTTCACATTCCAGCTCCACCAATTAGGAGCTATGTGCTCTTGGGCAAATCACGTCTATTTTCAGGACCTATTTCCTTATAAACAACATGGAAAGACCAATTATTTACGTGTGTGTATATATATATATAATATATATTATATATAAAGTATAGATATTATGTACAGATACACATTATATGTGTAAAACATATATATATATACACTCTACAGGGTGGTGTCTGTGGCTCAAAGGAGTAAGGCGCCAGCCCCATATGCCAAAGCCTCTGGCCAAAAACTGCAAAAAAAAAAAAAAAAAAAAAGAAAAATCATTCTACCTTACAGTGTTGCTGGGAGGAGTCAAGGAATTAATGCATGTAAAGTAATTAGCATCCTGCCTGGCTTCTAGAAAAGATTGATCATATTAGCTATAATTACTAGCATATATCTTCACTTCTCATAGCACTAACTACTACACCATACCATAACTGCCTCTTCATGTGTCTGTCTCCCTACCAGATTATAAACTCCCTGAGAGCAGAATATATCTGTTGTTTTCCAGTGTATGTGCAAACGTGGTAATTATTCAAGTATCTCTTGAATAAACGAATGGTTTAAATGTATCCTGCTACCAAACACCTTCCCCCAGCTGTGAGCAAATTCATTCTCCATTATTTCATTTCCCTGAGGACTCCTGGCTCTGCTCTAATTCTCTCTGCACCAATGATAACACTGAAGTGACTGTCTCCCTTGACTCTGAGTACCTGGGGCTGTACACTCACTTTGCAGGGAGCTCGGAGGATTAAGCAACGTAAAATAAGTCACTTTGATTGTATCTTAGTAAAAAGTACACTATTTTCACGAAAGGAGAAGCAGGTCGCCGTGTGGAGAGGACGCGAAAAGGGTTCTAGAGCCACTGCGGGATGCGACAGGGTGGTGTGGGGAGACCATCCACAAGACTGTGGAGGGGACGTCGGAGGGGTGCCCTGTGCATGTGGTGGAGTGAGTGAGGAAAGGGACCAGGGACCCAGGGTCTGCTGAGGCGAAGCAGGGCTGGGCCCAGGCCCGAGAAGCTGCAGCCCTTATGCCCCGCTTGCCTGTCCTCCGAACGAGCCTCACCTCCTGCACTTTCAGCTCCTCTAGAGTGGGCAGCTCCACTATCCCCGGCATGACGGCTGCAGCCCCGACCCTGTTGAGGAACCCTCAGTTCAAGTCGCCCCCGTCTCCTTGAAATCCCCTTTCCACGAACAAGGAGGCCACACGACTTCTGCGCCTGCGCTATCAGCGGCACGCAGCCGCACTACGCAGCCCCACCGCGAGCGACAGAGCATGCGCAATGCCAGAAGGCTCCGTGGGGCGGGGCTTTGCCTCGGCTCCGCCACACCTCCCGGTTGTCATAGTGAGGCCGAGTCCACTGAGGCTCTGGGTCTCAACCGCTGAAATCTATAATAGAAGCAGGCACCATGGAGTACACTGGGAGCCAATATATCGGGCAATATGTAGATGGGAGGTAAGGGCCCCGTTTGATTTACTACGTCTTGAATGTCTGTGATTAGAATAGAAGCTGTCTTTTCACTTCTGCAAAGGACCTTGTACCAGACGCTCACAACTTAACCCAAGTAACTTGTTCAAGGACACGTACCTAATAAGCAGCAGAGCTGAGAGCCATACATAAGTGCATGTGTGTGCGCGCTATCTACCAGTTTTAGATTTGGGAATAAGAATATTAAATTTTTCGATTGGGCACCTGTAGCTCAAGCAGCTAAGGCACCAGCCACATACCCCAGAGCTGGGGGGTTCGAATCCAGCCCAGGCCAGTCAAACAATGACAACTACAACTTAAAAAAAAAAAAAAAAAAGCCAGGCATTGTGGTGGGCGCCTATAGTCCCAGCTACTTGGGAGGCTGAGGCAAGAGAATCGCTTAAGCCCAGGAGTTGGAGGTTGCTGTGAGCTGTGATGCCACAGCACTCTACCCAGGACGACAGCTTGAGGCTCTGTCTCGGAAAAATAATAATAATAATATTAAAATTTCAAGATCCTTGGTCTCATGGAGTTTATAATCTATTTGAGTGGATATTAGCAATGAAAACAATAAATCAGCAAATAATTACAGATAATGGTACATGCTATGAAAACAAACACATGGCAATTGGAGAAGAGGCACTGTGGCTAGTCTGATTCCACATAGTCTCTTCCATCTAGAAGTTCACACTCTAGGGATCATTATAGAGGAATGTAGACACAAATCAGTGCAATGGGCCAGTAGTAAAAGCTATTCTGTTCAACAATGTTAAGTGTCTACCAAGAACCAGGCCCTAGGCTTGTCTCCAGGTACAATCCTTGTCCTCAAAGAGTTCGTTCCAATATTGTGCAGCAAGTAAACATAACACAGATAATCACAGTTCCACTGGCACAAAGTGGTCTGGTAGAGAAGCATGGAAACACAGAGGTGGCTGCTCTTTCTTGCCAACGATCCTGGATGAAGAAGGTAGACTGTGTTTTTATAGCTGGGAAACTAAGGCTGAGCGAGGTGAAGTGGACTGCCAAATAAGTGCTAGTTGTTGGAGCAATGAATCATTCCTACCTTGGGGCCGTGGAAATGAAGAAGAGATGAAGGGCAAGATTTTGGTAGAATCCATTTCTGTATTCACAAGATGGTGGAATTCCAGGGCTTTTTGACTTCACTGTAAGGAGGAATCATGGTCTGGCCAGGGATACAGGTTGGATTCCCAGGGAAGGAGGAAATATATAGAGAATGCTTTCTCTAATCCTTACATCAACTTTGCAAGGGAGATGTTATTATTTTCACTCTAGAGGTAAGAAAAGTGAGGCATAGAGAGTTTGAGACACTTGTTCAATTCAGCAGGTCAGTGGCCGAGGTGCTTGGTGTGTGCTACCTCTCACAACTCTGTGAGGTGGTTCAGACTGCTCTTGCAAATAAAGGAACAGATCTTAAGAGGAGCAAAATGAGTTGCCCACTGTTATGGGTACATAGCTAGGAATGATGAAGTCAGAATTTGAACCTGGTACTGTGTCCAAACCATGTTCATTCTTTCCACAAGTCTCTGCTTACGTGAAGGTGACAGAATGCTGGCAGATAGAGATGGGGTACTGTGCACTCTAGGCACAAAATCTTGAGAGCCTATACTTATTTTCAGTGAAGTATGTGTGTGTGTGAGAGAGAGAGAGACAGACAGGGTCAAAGAGAAAAAGCTTTCAGCTGGGCACAGTGGCACATGCCTGTAATCCTAGCACGCTGGGAGGTCAAGGCAGGAAGATCATTGGAACTCAAGAGTTGAAGACCAACCTGAGCAAGAGCAAGACCCCATCTCTACTAAAAATGGCCAGATGTTGTGGCATACGCCTGTAATCTCAGCTATTTGAGAGGCTGAGGCAGGACAATCACCTGAACCCAGGAGTTTGAGGTTGCCATGAGGTAGACTGATGCCATGTCACTCTAGCCTGAGTGACAAAGTAAGACTGGCTCACAAAAAAAAAAAAGGAAAAGAAAAGAAAGAGAGAGAGAGAAGGTTCTCAACCATTTGCTTTAGCCCTCTGGGCATTTTCACTGGGTCTCTGTGTTCCATCAGCCATTTCCATGCCTTTGTCCTTAGGAATCTGTTTTTTACCTGGGATTTTTTTTTTTTTTGGTAGAGACAGAGTTTCACTTTATCACCGTTGGTAGAATGCCGTGTCGTCACACAGCTCACAGCAACCTCCAACTCCTGGGCTTAAGCGATTCTCTTACCTTAGCCTCCCAAGTAGCTGGGACTACAGGGGCCTGCCACAATGCCCGGCTATTTTTTGGTTGCAGTTTGGCTGGGGTTGGTAGAATGCCGTGTCGTCACACAGCTCACAGCAACCTCCAACTCCTGGGCTTAAGCGATTCTCTTACCTTAGCCTCCCGAGTAGCTGGAACTACAGGGGCCCGCCACAATGCCCGGTTATTTTTTGGTTGCAGTTTGGCTGGGGCTGGGTTTGCACCAACCACCCTTGGTATAGTGGGCCGGCGCCCTACTCATTGAGCCACAGGCGCTGCCAAGGATTTTTTTTTTTTTTTT